AAAAAAAAAAAAAAACTAACTAAACTCTGTTAATATCTTCGAGCCATTATTGTTTTCGTTTCCTTTTTATTACTACAGTGGTAAGCTTGATCAGTCATATTTGACCGTCATTTTGGAAGTGTAATATTTCCACATTTTACTGTTCTTTCAGACGGGATTATTTTTCCTCTTATTGAGAAAAATGCTATTTTCCATGCATTTTAGTAGTTTGAGCTAGTAACTTTTAAATTGAAGATGAAGTTAGTATTTAACACTGAGTTAAAAGAGGATGAAAGAATTTTAAAATTATTTTCATATAATTTATATATAAAGTGAGTCTATTTTCACGTTATTTTACTAAATTACTCAATTTATATTAAAATTATCTTCTAATTGCCTTATGCATGTCAAAATTATTTTTAGGATTACCTTCTATCATAACTGAAACTCCAGTAATAACCTAGAAGCAAAATCACTAGCTAATAGAGTCAGCAAATTCCACAAAATTCAGATTATCATTTCTTATTGTCAAAAATTCTCTAAAAGAGGTCTTTGAAGTTTGATCAAAATCCATGAAACTTTCCAAATGCTATTTTAGTGTTTCATGACCTCTTAATAAAGAGAAAATCTACTAACTTCCTCAATAAAAATGCAAAATCTATTTACTCTCTTGATTGACTCTCTAAAAACCTCTTAAGTCACCACCTACGTTCTGCATCAAGCTAATGGAACAGTGGCTGAATCCACACCCCTTCCAGGCTATATTTTCGCTTTTGCTTTGGCATTCTCCAGGCTACTCACTTGGAACCATTATGACGCGATTATCATTGCCCGGTAGAGCCGTTCCACAAGTAGGAACCATTAATAAATCAATTCCTCAGCCAGTCCCAGCACCCCCTTTACCCCGTCCGTTCCCACAATGCGCCTCCTCCATGGTACACACTTAATGCCAGGTTTCGTCTCTGTGGTGTTGCGGATCGAATAAGGTCGACTTAAGCTTCCATTCCGAATGTCAAATTTCAACACATGATCTTCATCGTTGCAGAAGCAGAAGCTCTCATTGTGATAGACGGCACCAATCATGTTTGTCAATCTACTGCTTGTAGTGTCCCTCATGGCCCATTTGGTGGCATTGCGACAAGGCTCCCAGCATTCAGCCTTTATCTTCCCATCGTCATAGGTCTCACACCAGGCACAAACAACACAGTCTGGCGAAGTTGGAGGGGAAGAAAATGAAGCAACACCATGGAAAACCTCGTGAGGGAACTGTGGAAGGTTTATTTTTGCAGCAGTAAAATGACAGAAGAAGAAAATGGACCCTTCTCTGAAAAATATACCAATTCCGGAATGGTGATGGTGTAGTACTTGTTGAGGGATTCCGGGACTAATTTGCAATCCGGGGTTCTTGGTCCATAGAGAAGGAACTGAGGCTCGCGATTTGGCAGGTATTCAACCATTGCTGACGAGGTGGAAGAGGCTGAGTTTCCAAGCTTTACTGACTCCCCTGAAAGCCAGAAGATCGATCAAGCCTAATTCTTCTGCAGTGGGTCGTAATAGATCATGAGGAAGATCATACCACGGCCTTGTTTCCTGCAAATGCCAAATACCACTTCAAGTTAACAAATATGTACAGAACAATGAAGGAAATGAGCAAAATTGGTTCTCTGAGATTGAGACCATTACTTGGAGTTATTTGGAGCTGTTGCTACTTCTAGTTTTCTGCTGCTTTGTACAGGCTTCATGTGCGTTGTTAGTCTTTTTCACTCTTGAATTTGAATATATGATCTCTTCGTAGGCATTGCCTTTTCCCAAAAAAAAAAGAGGAAAAAACAAACGAACTGTTTTAGTAGAGTTGATAGGGTAAGCCTGTTAAATTCATGGCGGGTAATTTGCTAAACAAAAAGGTGAAATGCAGTACTTACTAACTATTGATTGTGGGCTGAATTACAAATTATCAGTCTATTCGAAGAAAATACAAAATTAATAACTCTTCATGTCAAAGATTTAAACAAATCAAATTATCATATAATCTCCAGATAACAATTAATCAAGCTTCTGAGCATTTTAAATTTAATCAAAATGGCAAAGATTTAAGAACAAGATCATGAAAGTTCTTTAAAAAAAAATTTTTTTTTTTAAAGAAACATCAGTTTTTTTTTTTTTTTTTTGGGTAAAAAAGGGGTGAGATGTATATGCACTGTGCACAAAACTTGAATAGAAATAGCCAATTCCTGATGATACTCTT